CAGCAGCAGCAGCAGCAGTAGCCATGATGGTGCGGGGGAGAAAAGCCGCCAGCAGGGCGAAATTTTTTGTCTTCATCGCACCTGCTGGCGTCTGTGTGTGTGTGTGGTCTGGCCTCTGCGTGTGGCGCGCACTCACGGATCTGCACCGCAGTGGAACTCCCTGCTCGTGTATTACTTGCGTCGGGAACTGTGTGTCTGGTGTCCCCGCGTTCGGACTTCCTCTGAGAACGCGGTCTTTTCGCGCTGACGAGCCCGCGCTTGCAGTGCGACTTTCGACGAAAAACTTGTGCGACAGGAAGAGTAACAACACTCTCATCGACACTCAGGAGGGGTGTAGTCACAAAAGGGTTAACACATACAGCAGAATAGAGTCGGCCTTGCACTGCAAATACCCCAACATGTCCTCTCAAGAGCAACGTCATTCTGATACATGAGGCACGAACACATCCCCCTAATTCACTCTGTGTTTCTCTACCCAAGCCTCTTGTCACACAAGTCAACCACAGCGTGCTACAGCGGTCAGGCCATGCTGGTACGCCTGTTAGGTTATGAGCCTCGTGCGGTAGGGGAACTACGTCGAGTCAAATGGCGTCCGTCGCGCAACCATCGAATCATCTGCAGAGAGGATATGCGGCGTTCAACGGGGATCCGACCACATTTTCGGGCTGGGTCACGCTGACACGGTCCCTGCTGAGTGAAGCTGGACTGAGCCGGGTCATGTCGGGAGTGGAGACTGCTCCTCGACATCTGCCAGACGGAGCGACCGACGCCGAAGCTGCGGAACACCGAAAGCTGTTCTCAAGTTCAACGAGAAAAACGGCAAGCTGGCTACGTCGGATGGCCCGGATGGATACACCAGTCCAGCTTCGCAAGTAGTGCAGCAGAATGGGCCAGTCGTGGACGAGGCTCATAACCTAACAGGCGTACCAGCGTGGCCTGACCGCTGTGGTACGCTGTGGTTGGCTTGTGTGACGAGAGGCGTGGGTAGAGAAACACAGAGTGATTTATTATCCACACACAGACGCCCAAGCTGTCTTCACCTGACCGTTACAGACCTGGAACACGCCTTCACAATACTGTATTAAACGCATACAGCAGAATAGAGTCGGTCTTACACTGCAAATACCCCAACGAGGTTCACGACGTCCTCGCACAAGGTTGAAGAGGAGACTAGCCGGCAACGAGCGCTCAAACGGGGGGCAGCAGACGGACGAAATGGCGAGGGAAGAAAGCAAACGAGAAGAGGCGGACTGATTGGAGCGACATGCGCCGAATTGAACCCCTTGAGTGACCAACCTCCCTCCCAAACCCTAACCCTAACCCTAAGCCTAAGCCTCACTGCAGCATTGCACCACCACCCCCCTAGCGATGACGACGTGCCTTTGCTGTCTCGGGTGGCTCTTATTGTTTGAGGTTGTTTATTTTTTTGTTTGTCGGTACAGCAGTAGTGGCTCTGGTGTCTGCCCTTCTCTTTTCCTTCCTCTTCTCATTTTCTTTTTCATCATTTCCTTTCCCGATAGTTGTCTCTCTTTGCTTCTGTGACGTACCGAGATTGAACCATCGAATACACCCACCCCTCTGGCCCATGATGATGACTTTCAGTCTATATTTTCCTCGCATAGCGTTAGAAGCGAGCGGAGGGTTCTAGGCTATCTGTCGTAGAGACAGATTGACTTGAGGACCCTTCGGGTTCTTCATTTGGTTGTTTACCTCTTGGGGCGAATATTAGCCTGTGACCACGGGCATCGACCGCGTCAAGCTTTAGGCTAGTGCGGACACATGAAGGCACTGGGTAGAGAGATTGGAACGGGCTTATGTAGTCTGAAGACAACAAGATTGCCATGCACGGTAGATTCTCATGCTAAACACACCAACAGGAACCAACAATATTCATGCCCCGGTACGACCCCACGATGGAAGATACACTGTGCAAAACGTCTACCGAATATGACTAGAAATGTCTTCTGGTATCCCTTGGAGTCGATGGATGATGAGTGTTAAAGAATGACAGTCTTGTTGGCCTGTAGACGTTGGTGCGACTCCAGACTCAGTGCTTCCATGGCCCCTGGGTGATGTCCTCCTATCTCGGCCATACGACGTCTCCGTTGATGTCGACATGCTTGGAGCAGCTGTGGGAATTTAACGGCGTGATCGTCCTCCTCCGAGAACCTTTGCGCCTACTTTCCAGCGCGGAATACTAAGGCTCTGGACAACAAGGTCAACAGGTCTCCGTCAGAGTGATGTCTGTTGGGAGAATTGTGCGCAAGAACTGACTCTATTCTACTGCAGGGTTTGGTGCAGTATGGTGAAGGCGTGTATCCAAGTCTGTAACCGTCAGGTGAAGACAGCTTGGACGCCAATGTGTGAAATAATGATCACTCTGTGTTTCTCTACCCGAGCCTCTTGCGTCACATACGCCAACCACAACGTACAACAGCGGTCAGGTCCCGCTAGTACACCAAACAGGTTATGAGCCTCGCGCGGTAGGGGAACTACGTTGAGTCAACATGGCGCAATCATTGAACCATTTCCAGAGGGGTTATGTGCCGTTCAGCGGGGATCCGGCCCAATTCGAGGGTTGGGTCACGCTGACTCGGTCCTTCTGTCCGAAGCTGGACTGAGTAGGGTCATGTCGGGAGCGGAGATTGCTCCTGCGCCTTTGCCAGCGGGAGCGACCGACACTCAAATCGCGGGACACGAGAAAATTGCCCTAAAGTTCAAGGAAAAGAACGGAAAAGTGTACACGAGACTGCTTCTGGCCACGTCTGATGGCCCGGATGGATACTCCAGCCCTGCTTCGCAAGTGGTACAGCAGCATGGGCCAGTCGGTGACGAGGAGTATGGTGATGGACGAGGTGCGTTCGTTGCTCTCCAGCAGAAGTAGTACCGTGAGGGTGTATTTCGCATGCAAGAGCTCCATGAGGAGCTTACTTCCGTGATGGTCACTGCAGCCGACAAACACGACCCGGCCCGAGCGATTCAACAGTTGCGCCGCATCTGCCTCGAACTGGACAAGCTAGGAGATACAGTCGTGGAAACACGGAAAGCAGGTGCCCTACTACGAGCCCTCCCTAATGGACAGTATGGCTCGTTCAAGAATGTCCTGATGAGCGAAAAGACAATCCTCGGAAGCGATGGTCTCGTATTCGAGGAGATGGCGCGCCATGCAACTTCGTACCATGCCATGCAAATTCGCGGAGAAATGTCTGACCATGGTGACGGTTCAGGCAGCCACGGCCGTGTGTTGAACACTGTCGCCCACGAAGGAGCACGTGGTCTCCGCAGGCGTGGCGGCCGTGGCGGCCGTGGTGGACGCAGCCGCCGAGGTAATGGCGGCCGAATTGCAGACGGTTCGACCAGTGGAAGTGGGTCGAACGGCAACAACAACAACAACGGAACCTCCGGAGGAGACAGCGCGGGAAATGCGCATGGCGGACGCGGGAATGATCGCAGGAGCCGAAACTCTGGAGGTCGTGGTCGGGCTCAGGATACCGGCCTCAACCGTCAAGGACGTTGCAGATACTGCCGTAACAGCACCGAGCACGGGTGGGAAGAATGCCCGCTCCGCCGAAGGCACGAGGCGGAGGACAACAACACAGCAGGACAGGTGCACAACACGCAAGACTCCACCACGCAAGCTTGGTACACGCGGGTGGAAGCGGTGGACGATGAGCTTGAAGATTTCGGCATCGTCTTCGATAACGACAAGCAGGAGCTGAACGCCCCTTCTGTGGCGTTGCCGAGGGAGCGCGCTGCTGCTGGTGATCAGGAGCAAGACGCGGCTGGACCGGCGCTGCCGGACGGAGTCGTAATATATGATCCGCAAGTATGGGAGTGCGCTGCTGGAGATGAGCAGACGCATGATGTGCCCGAGTCGGCGCTGCCGAATGTGCGCGCCACTGACGACCTGCAGGAATTCGCGGAGCCTGCGGCAGCGACGGACCTCGATCTCACTACCCCTCCTGACTCTCCGGCCGAGAAAGTGACAGAGCTGGTAAGGTACACTAGCGTGTTTCAAGTGGACAAGGAGTCGAAGGAGGTTGGTGATACGACGCTCTACATAGATACAGCGGCGTCGAGCCATATGGTAGACGCTGAATCCCGCATGTCCAAGCGTGTGTTTGACCTAGTGGACTCCGCCGTGCGTATCATCGGGTCGTGCGGAACATCTAGCGCTACCAAGAAAGACACCCTGAAGTTTGGAATTCGTAGTGAGCAAGGCAACATTGTGACGGTGGCACTGGACGTCCTCCTGGTTCGTAATCTAGGAGCGAATATTCTGTCGGTTGGAGCGTTGGCCGAAAAGGGGGTTAAGCGCGATTTAATGTCTATCCCTCCGGCGCTCCGACGCGGCGACCAGGCCTTTCCGATATCAATCGCTGTGCCTCGCATGTACGTGATAAACGTCATCATTGACGATCTCAACATGGACGATGTAGAAGTGTATCGCACCAAGGTCGACGCTCACCTATGGCACCGGAGGATGGGCCACTGCAATCCGCGTGCACTGCAGCAGCTGGCGGAAATGGATACCACTGGAGTGTAGTTCCATCACAACATCGAGTAAGGTGACTGCAGCGTATGCGTGGTCGGGGATAGCAAGAAGGGCAGTCACCCTCCATCTGATCACCCCCACTCTGAAATCCGGCTCGAGGTGATATGCGCAGACGTGTGGGGGAAGCACCCCATCAAGTCGTTTGGGGGCTGCCAGAGTACCGTGATGTTCGTTGACGTGTTTTCTCGCATGAGGTTCGGCTTCCCAATCACGACAAAAGACGAAACGGCGGAGTCTCTCCACACATTTGTCCGGGAGGTAGCCGACCCGATCGGGCAAAGCATCGGCACGATGCACTGCGATGGTGCAGGAGAATTCCAGGGCAGATTCCTGGAGCTGTGCAAGTCCCTCGGAATTACGGTCAAAACTAGCGCTCCATACACTCCACAGCAGAACTCCATCGCAGAACGTGGATTTGGCACCATCATCGGAACTACTCGCAAACTAATGCTGGGCGCACCGCACCTTCCCAGCGAGCTGTGGGCTGAAGCATTCCAGACCGCCATCTATCTCAAGAATCGCACACCAACTGAAGTCCTGGGCGGCAAGTCCCCACTCGAGCCTTGTATGNCAAACACCTCCCCATTACCGAAATCAGACATTATGTCTAGACTAAAGGGTTGGATGGTGCATGGAATATTGTTGTAGAATAACAAACGTTGGAANCATTTGTCCGGGAGGTAGCCGACCCGATCGGGCAAAGCATCGCCACGATGCACTGCGATGGTGCAAGATAATTCCAGGGCAGAAGCCAGGGAGCTGTGAAGTTCCTCCAGAACCGCCTTCTCTTGCTTGGAGTGCAAACACCTCCCCATTACCGAAATCAGACATTATGTCTAGACTAAAGGGTTGGATGGTGCATGGAATATTGTTGTAGAATAACAAACGTTGGAAAGTAGGAGAACATTTCGATGCAATCAATGAGTACATATTTAGGAGTTGGTTCGAGAGCATGCACTCACGTCGATAGCACATTTGTCGAGAAGACACTGGTATTGTTTGGAGAGGACATTGAGATTGAGAGAATTCCGTGTCTCATGTATCAGAGCTGGAATGACGTAGTTCTTAAGAGGACATGTTGGGAGAATTGTGTGGAAGAACTGACTCTATTCTACTGCAGGGTTTGGTGCACTATGGTGAAGGCGTGTATCCAAGTCTGTAACCGTCAGGTGAAGACAGCTTGGACGCCGATGTGTGAAATAATGATCACTCTGTGTTTCTCTACCCGAGCCTCTTGCGTCACATACGCCAACCACAGCGTACAACAGCGGTCAGGTCCCGCTAGTACGCCCAACAATGTCGAAGATCCTCATGCCCTGCACCCCTAGATAGTGCGATCCCATCCTCGCCGTGGGCGACCCTGTGTCCACGCATGAAGATGAACCTGGAGAAGGCTCGCCGTCCTGATTGGGGGTCTTCGGTTGTATCTTCGGCTCACGTTACTCTTCCCGTCACAGTCGATGCCGAAGAGATTGAGCTCCGGTCCGGCCGGTGTACCCGCTTTTTTTTTTCTTAAAATATCCGAAATTTTCTCAAGAATGGAGGTTTGTCCGCCTTTGATCCGATAGTCTATATTCTATTGATGCTGCGGAAGGTTGTGTACTACTCCAGTATTAATAATATTGTAGCCGCCTGACGATGGCGTCTCTTGGACGCGCCGTGACGTCGGTAGCTCATAGTGTAGACGGGATAAGCGAGTCTCAAAAGCTCTCAGTGACATGCGTATGCACACAGCGGATATTGTAGCAACATCCGTCGCTGGTGTGTAGCCACGCTGTGGTGCTTAGCCTACTGGCTGCCTTCTGTATCACACACAACTCATCCATCCAAGGTTGCTGCTACAGGGTGTCGTGGCTCCGATACATGAGGGTGGTGTGACAATGACCCTCGACCCTCTTACATCGGATCGCCCTCTCATACGGGGACAAGAGGCTACTCAACTAAACTTTTGCGGGTCGAGTCAGTGACAACGAAGTCTACCTGGTGCACATGTAATCCACACACTCAACTCATGGATAACCCGACGGCATGCAGCAAAAGCGATATTTTCATCAACGGCAGCCTCGGCAGCACGGCGGTGAACGGTAACGAGCGAACGTGAACGAACAGGAGACAACCAAGACGCCCAATTTTCATTAAACCCCACAGCCAACAGCAGTTCATTGCTCGAAGAATGGACTGGTGGTACATACAGAGTCTAGACTGGTCTTATGTATGCATACCATCATATAGTCTAATAGACGGTCATTTCGTTCCATTCCATATTCTCAGGGAGGGCGGGCGCGTGTGGCTGCTTCCCCGGGGAGGGTGTCAAACGAGGGGCGCTCCCTCCATCACACCTATCGGACTTCACGGACGTCCATGTCATACGACATTGCGCCTGCTAGCTGCGCCTGCACCTCAGACGACGTTACGGATGTTTCGCATGCAATGCACAAAAGAAACACATCTGGACTTTTCTTCATCCCTATCTCCTTACAAGACCAGAGCAACAGAAGCAGTAGCGTTATTGCCATATGACACGATGCTTGCGCCTTCCACATGATGATGAGACATCCACCAAGATCATGGAGTGCCTTTGGGGGTAATGGCTCCCTTATTGAGCAGCAGCCGCCTTGACCTTGAAAGCTCTTGTTTCCTTTTGTATTATCAGTCCGCGTCGTACAGTACACCGCCTTGATGCATAGCAAAAACATGATGTTGCCTCGCCAACGAAAAGGGTCCCTCACACCACGAAAAGACATATCTACCGTATGCATACGTACTACTCCTACCGAGTAGCATGTTCTTGCGGCGGGCAAAGAAAAGTCACCCCGGAAAACAATATCTACATACCGTGCGCATGTTTTTGCGGAGGAAAAATCACCCCGCAAGATCTACTTTCATCTTGCAACCGTATTTTCTATTCTTGCGAACAGAACAAAAAGAGGCATCCAGCATGGCTTCGAAACAGCGTGCGTCAGCCAAAGCATGTACCAACCGACCAACCACGCCGCTTCAACAAACACCTTCGGGTGAACACTGTCGTTCTCCAGCGGCAGATTCCCGCACTGATGAGCAAAACACTATGGGAGAGACGTACCGCGGAAGTGGCAACAGACTTGCGATACCGGCGCCACGCCGAATACCATCATCGAGCTGACTGAAGGGCTACAAAATCGACAGGACGAAATGGGCAACGACCATCAATATTTTACTTTTCCATCAAATATTTGCAAAAAAAAGGCCTGAGATAAAATAACTGACAAGAAAAACGAAGAATTCCAGCAGGCAGCGCACTGCGAGTACAAACAGCGATCGGAAGTACACCAAGAGCTACTTCATCGACACATCAAGCAATTTCAAGTTCACGTGTGGCGCGCTTCAGCGGCACTCCAGTTAAAGTACATCAACGGCAACTAAACCTATATAACGTGCATACAACAGCAACACAGGAAAAATAAAAGAATAGAGTCACGCGTCAGATTCGAATTCTCGGACATGAGAGAGAGAGTTAGATCGATCGGTCGGATCAGGCCGGGTAGAAGCGCCCCGGCGTTTGGTTCTTCGCCGACGGTGTCATTATTGGTGTGGAGAAAAACAACTTGTCGAGACCACCCGAGCGTAGTAGAAACCCGGGTAGAGAGGGGGGGGGAAATGCACAGCAGCAGCGCGAGCGAGATAAACAAGATATCGGACGCGCGGACCAAACCTTCTTCCCATACAAGTCATCCCCCCTCCCCCGCTTCACTACTTTCCATTACTGAATAACCTACAAAACAACTGAGACACCCGAAACCAAGGTGGGACGCTCGTCCTGCCGCCGTAAACGAGTTGACGCGTTTGCGCCCGGGCGGATTCTTCGGCAGGTTGTGCGGACTAGGCCGTGTCCGGGGTAGGGGCCGCCGCAACACCGGCAACCGGCGCGGTCGTGGTCGCCTGTTGAACTGATGTGATGGCGGTTCCGGGCTGAAGGGTTAGGTAGAGAACTTTGGGCCAACAAGACGGTGACAACAAGACGCGGGGGTTGTGAAGGGGAAGGGTGAGTGGACACTCCAGAAAGAGCACTGCCTTCCACAGACGACGAGCATGGACGCCATTACCGCAAGAGGGTCTGGGAGTAAACGTGGACGAGGGGGCAGAGGCCGGGAATAAGGGGTAGCATACGTCCTAGTGGGAACTGAAGTAGCAGAAACAACAACTGTGGACATTCCGCGGCCCCCAGGGCGGGCAAAGGTCTGACCGCTAAGGCATGCAAAACAGGAGTCGCCCACGTGTCGCGCATATGCCGATGCGCGACCGTTGTTAAAGGTGGCTGTCAACCCCGATTGCGTGCTCACCGCTGCCGAAGCCGCCGTGGCAGCCACCACAGGTCAAGGAGCTGCAGCGGCAGCGGCCGGCGCGCGTGTCGGCACAACAAGGTCGGCCGTGACCTGTTTTTTTGTGTGTTGCAAGAAAAAAACAAGGTTGTGATGATATTGTAGCAAGGAAAAAACAATGGACGAGAAGCGGCAGCAGGTCTGTGAGACGGAACAGGTTTGGTGTGCCGCCCAAAAACAGCATTAGCAGTCGAACGGCGTGGTGCGAGGGAGGAAGCGCGAGTAAGAAAGAGGCAACAAACATCGCTGTAAGCATACCGTATATGACACAAGATAACACACCCCCTGGACCAATTTTCAATGCTCGATTATGCGACAACGAAGAAGGTGCATAAATGAAACAATACATTTTCGGAACTCTCTAGACAAGGCAGCTTCAACTCCACCGTTTTCCACGCTGTAATTGTTTCTGCTGTCAAAAAATCAATATTTGAAAATCGGTCCATGGGGTGTGTTATCTTGTGGCATTTACGGTCAAGGGAGCGCATGAGCGGACGGCAACAAGATCGTCACAGGCAGCTTTCAATACTCATGCACCAACTTGTGGCCACAAGGGCACCTCCAGGGAGGGCCAGCAGGAACCGTGAGAGGGAGAAGCACAATCCAAACTCCATCAACACGTTGTCAAGACAAGCAAGGGCATGAGAGAAAGGCAGCAGAAAACTGACGACGAGGACGACTGTGATGACGGGTGTTTTTTTCGTTCGACAGGCCTTCCTCAGGGAGGTTTCGAGCTTGATCGGGTTGTTATAGGCAAGCCTCCGGCCGTCGGAAGATGTCTGTTAACTGCTGACAGTTGCTACGAAGTTGGATGACCACGTGTAGGTCGGGACGGTTCAGAAGGAAGGGCGCACGAACGCTACCACCGACACCGGAAACAACACGGCCAACAGCATCATCATCATCATCAACAACAGCAACAAATATGTCCAATCATCTGTCCCGTTTATCGGATCAGGGGCACCCGCTTTCACCTTGGCGGCGGCGGGCGCCGTCCCAATCGTGGGGGGGTTGGTGACGAGGATGGGCGTTGATGCGTCGCCCCCGCCGTCGGCCGCTGCCTGGGTGGCAGCCACGAGATCGGTGGTATTGCTACCTGGATCGGTAGAGGTGACGACCTCGCCGATCGGGGCAAGCGAGCTGTAACGGCAAACCGGCGACAAGGGAGCGGGGGGGGGGGGGGTACTGATGTTTTGCAATACCTTACTCTGTTGGACCGGGGTTCGGGGGCGAGCGAGCTGTGGAATTACCGGCGGCGACAGGTGGCGGCAGCGACAACAAGGACGGAATGCCGACCGGTTCGTGAAAAATTTCGACCTTCGTGCCGGTCGGGGGGTTGGGGGGAGGGGGGGGGGGGGGGGGGGGGGGGG